TACAGGAATTGCACCATGCTTCACAAAAGACTGCATCATGGGCCAATAAAATCGTGATCTAACTAAATCCATGGTTCTATCAAACCCAAAATGACCATTGGCATTATGAAGACTTGTTAGAGCATCACTTCTAAGCTTCTGTGGTAGGACTAACTGCTGTATCTCACCACGTTCATTACCTTGGGTTGACCTAAACAGCACACCATTCCTCACTGATAACCTCTCCCACTGTTTCAAAAGAAGTTTAGTCTCCCTAGACTCGTGTGATCTCTCGCGTCTACTGGGTCTTCTGTTTTCTTGCTTGTATGCAAGCACTCTTTCAATGGCAGGATCTTGTTTTTGAAGTACGCTCAATTCTTCAGTGGACTTGCCTGGCAATGACTGACTACCACTCTCAGGGTTGACACTGGTGCAAGGCAGGAGATTAGGCTCTGAGAAATTGTTCATTCTTTGCTGAATACACCGTTTTCATAAAGAGGGCGCAAATCCAGTCACGTGCTATTTTGCGATCGAAATCGAGGCTAGTGAGTATAGCAACCAGGGTTGCCCGGGATTTTCTAAATGTAAACATTGACAGCTTCATGACGGACTCCGTGAAGTTTTAATGGTAAGAAATTGATTTCTTTCGTTTTGCTTATGTATTTATTTGTTTTGTTTCATTTGTTTTACCGAGTGTGTGTGTGTGCAATTACAACTTATTACCAGGCAATAGTCATTGTTTCCGTGGAGTGACGAAGCGGGAAATCAGCTGTATGCTGTAAATGTCAGACATAACTGTGTGTAGTCATGGACGTACGTCCATGGTGTAATCAGGTGTAGTCAGGGAGCTGTAATCTACGGAATTTAATTGTATAAAATTGCTTGATAAATTGGTTGTTTCTTGTTTTATGACACCGCCTCTATAATTTGTAATATTGACGCCCGACGACGCAAGTTGGCAAAAGTATACGCGATGAACGTTCACGTGTGTATGGATGTATGTATGGACGTGATCGGTACTGACGGAAATATTATTTTTTTCAAAAATGTGTAAATGAAGACACTATAGTTAATTTTTCAGAGCTTCCATTCAAAATTCAGAAAAGGTTGTGTATAAAATTTTATTTTATGCTTGTAGATCCAGTTAAAAATATGGACTCGGACCTGTCAGAAAATGATATTCCAGGTGCGTCATTGAATGGTAGAAACCCTGCAAGGCTTTGCAATGATGAATTGAGGTTTTGGTTGCTGTGTCGTGGGGACCGACCAAAACAGAATATGACAAAAGCAGAGCTTATTGCTCGGTAAGTTCTGGAATTTTTTATAATTTGTAGGATGTGGTGTTATTACCTGCATTGTTTTTGCTAAATAGTCGTATTACACACATCTGTACTAATATTTCATTATCTATTAAATATAATATATCCAGTAAGCCATAAGTTGTCTTTAGGACAAAATGCATTTTTAAAATTTAATGTCTTCCTTACATCTCAGTTCCAAGAAACAAAGCATAACAATTAAACTGTTTGATTTTTTTAACAGGGTAAATCACTTCATTGTAAATAAATTGGACAAAAAGATTGTGGATCCAGACACAAATAATGTGTACACCAAGCAGAAAATTGGACAAACTGAATATCTATCTACGTCAACCTCAACGACTGCTGCAGTTTCTTACCCTCAGTCTGGATGGGGTACATCCCTTGATAACCTACCCCTCTTCTCTCGTGCACAGATGGATGTAAAAGTTGCCACTGGGGGTAAGACCTTGCATAAAGAAAAAAAAAGACCAAGCAGACCACAGCTTTCAGCGTGGGAACGTTTTAATCAGAAAATATTTATTTGATATGTAACAATTATTTCTGGACTTCATTTTTGTTTAAAGCTAAGTGTAGTCCAAGTTATAGTAAATCCAAGGAGCCACATCAATTATTTCTTTGTTTACATTTAATTACAGGGGAAGTGATACATGGTAAATGTACATGTGTAGCTGGTAAATCAGGTCATTGTAATCATTTAATTGGTCTTATGTTTCGTATATGTGAATTTTCTTTGTATAATTTAAAGAACACCACTGATGATTCAAATAATTATTCTTATGATTTACCAATAACATCTAAGCTGCAAAGATGGAACAGACGAAGAACTGATGGTATTGATCCTCAGCCATCTACGGAGGTATATGTGAAAAAATTAAAGGTTGGTAGTAACTGCAGTGATAATCCAGTCCATTGTACATTATACAAAGCAGTAAAGGGTGATATCATAAATGTCAACAATGAGATTACACTTAAATCCAAATGTACAGAGAGAAATCCAAAAATTGGTGGTGCTACTTTGATCACACCTTTAAGTGATAATACTGATATGTGTGATACTAGAGTTGGTGAAATGCCACGAGGCTCAGTTTTATGTTATCAACTTGCTTTTACTGAGTCAAATTTTTCTGTAGACATATCAGTTGATACTCTTCCAAGGATTCCTGTTTACATGTGCACTCCTTTAAATTTTCCAAAATTCCCTTTATCAAATATTTCAATGAACTCTTCTAATGACCCCTTTATTTCCAATGAATTAAAACAATTGCTCTTATCACTTGAAGCTGATCAGCCAACTGCCTCAAACATAGAGGCTAATACACGACAACAAGCAGATTGCAGTGAGTGGTGGGAGCACCGCAAACCAAGGTTAACTGCATCTACATTTTATGATGTTTGTAATCGTCAACGTAATTTTGATACATTAGTACAGAGATTGTATAAACCAACTTCTTTCAAGTCTACATATACAAAACATGGACACAAATTTGAAAATAGAGCTCTACAAAGTTATATTAAGCATATGCATAGTCTCAATTATGATATATCAGTTTTTAAGTGTGGATTAGTTGTGAGCCAGGTATTGGGCTTCCTTGCTGCCACCCCTGATGGAAAGGTCATCGACAAAGGTGTACAGCCTGCATTTGGAATTTGTGAGATCAAATGTCCAGAAACAAAGAAAAACATCACTCCTTTGGATGCATGTCTAGATCCAAAGTTCTGTTGTGAGAATATTGGTAATAAACCAAAACTAAAATGGTCACATAGGTATTTTTACCAAAGTTCAGGGTCAAATGGGCATAACTGGTGCCAAATGGTGTGATTTTATTGTATACACACACAAGGGACTCAGTGTTGAAAGAATTAGATTTGAACCCTTATTTTGGCATGACATGATGTGCAAACTATCATTATTTTTCAATAATTACTATGGCCCTTGTGTAATTAATGATAACAAAATACATCCTTCTAGTGACTGAAACAACTGCTGCATGGCAAATATGTTCAATTCACCCACCAAAAAATGGTTTACAAACCCAGTTGCTAAATTAGTATTGCTTGTTTATTAAATGGATATAGCTGCTTGGTATTTGAGCATTAGAAAGTCAGAGGTTGATTTTAATTGATAAATTTATTTAATTGTAAATTATTCCAAAAGATTATTTTCTGATAGTCATTCCAAGCCATATTTAATTCAAGTGTAAAATTTTAAAATTTTCTACAACATGTTTTGTATTTTATTACAATATTATCTAAAGCAATTTTATTACAAATACTTTATATAAATAAAAACAAATGTATAGTATCATGCACTGCCATAAACTTTTCATATATTTATTTTTAACTATGTGTAATATGTACATTCAATTTTCATATACTATGTAAGAATATTTAATAACTTATTAATAAAAGTATTGTACATGACAAGTTAAACGGCTGTGTATTTTTATTCTATTTACATTACATGTATATTCAAAACATTTTTTAAATTTAATTTATTGCACTATGAAAATGTAGTCATGACTGTACAGTAACTGGTTGTACCCAAAAAGAAAATAATGTGCACCACTTTGCAAAACTATGGCATGTAACATTTAACACAATATACTGACATATAATAATAATTAAACTTATTTCTATGCACTAATAATAGGGTCATGGAAATTGCACAATAATGCACATACTGTCCATATTTGGTTCACACTACCAAACATACACAATGGAAACAATCTATCCCAAATATGAAATTTTTTAACTTTATTTATGGCCCTTTCGACATGAATTCTCTCTGATGCAATTTCTTGAGTTTCAGTGACCTCATCTGCCTCTAGTTGCCCCCTCTTTTCTAGAAATGGTGGGATATTGAGTGAGACTCCCTTCTCAGCAAGTAAATCAGATATTGTAAACCCCTTATCTGCCATCACAGAGTCACCAACATCAAATAACATGTTCAGTATGCCACTACGTTTAACTATTTCTCTATCACTAATAGAACCAGTGTACAACTGACTGACAAAGGTTGTACTACCACTTGGGGCTATGCCAATCAATCCCTTCATGGTAACATGGTTTTTATAATGAGAAAATAGTTCAGATTGTAAAATAAGTGATGAAGGCACTTCACACCTTATCTCAGTACAATCTAATATTACTCTGCATGAGGGATATTTCTCCCCTCATTGACAATGGCATGGTATCTGTTATTACTTGCCGGGTAGGCCAGATATCCAAACTACCTAATTTCAGATACATATAATTTATCCAAGTAATAACTATGCGACTCACTGTTGATACTGAAATATTATATAGAAATGAAAGATGATATTCGGGGAACCCTTGTCTAAGTCGACACATAACAAGAAAGAATTCATCAAGAGGCTCCAATTTCCTTGGTCTTCCCAACTTATTATTATTGTTGTTGTTGTCATTGTGACCACATAAATCATATTGCAATCCACACGTTTGATTACTACGCTTCCAATAAATAATATTTTCTGCATTCTCTCCTGTATCTAAAAATTCAAATAAATTTAAAAATAAAGAAGTACATGGAAACCCAGTATAAAATTGTATACTTTCATCTGAATTTAAAAATCTTCTTACACTAAACTCATTCTGTGTGCATTTGTTTTCTAAAGTTTCTAATTGACTATTTAAACTTATAATTTCATTTTTAAGTATTTGATTTATATTCATAACGTTCTCTTTTGATTTCTTAAGCTCCTTGACTTCATTTTCCAGTGATTTTATTGTTGTACTATTTTTACTTATAACTTCTTCAAGTTGTCTTATTTTGTCAAGTTGTTCTTTTTCTTCAACACATTTTTCAATATTTTCGCCAGCTTCAGTGGTTGTTGTGATAACTGCGACGTCGTTTTGACTACAAATGCGTTTTCGTACTTCATCCTTTGGATTTCTTCTACTAGGTGTCTTTGATTCTGACCACTTAAAACATGATGGTACTGCATTATTTAGTAAAAATCTCCTCTTTGCCAGAGTGTACTTAAAATCTTTTTCTGTGAAATGCAGGGAGCATATTTTTGTTGACCTGTTCAGTTTAAAGTTCTTGCCGGGATCTCTTTTTATAGCATGGATCCATTGCTTCAAAATGTTTTTATTTTTAGGGAAACTAAAAAATGAAACGTTATGTCCGTCAACCAAACGGTACCCTTTACCCTCGCAGAACGGTACACAGCAAACTGTGGGCATGGTCTACCCAAATATGCACTGCAATATAAATAAAAAATATTGTAGTTAAATATAGAAATAATCAACAGCGCACTAGTAACTCCATGTATATCGTGTTATAAAGGGACTTCCGGGTAAGCGTACAAGGACGATGTGGGGCCGGCGATATCACGTTGTTATATATAAATCAAGCCATGGATTCATTTTTTTTATTCGTAATGGGCTGCTGGGATTAAACTAAATGGATAGTTGTAACACGGACCTAAGGTCTGTGTAAAAAAGTAACCATGGAAGGTACTAACGTTAGTAACTAAGTTAACTCTTTGGGAGTCGTGGGAAATGACCGGCTTTCTGGTATTTTAACAACGAAAACCATTGGACACAGAAAAACAAAGGCATTAATAGTAAAACAATAATAATCTTACCCATTTTTGTGACAACTATCAGCAAAATACAGCGGCTTCCAAAAAAAAATCCGAAAAGAGACGTCCATGTACTTCAACTATAAAACTTTTAAAGTACCCGCGGTGGCAATGTTTACATATTGGCAACCCTGGTTGCTATACTCACTAGCCTCGATTTCGTTCGCAAAATAGCACGTGACTGGATTTGCGCCCTCTTTATGAAAACGGTGTATTACTGTGCTAACTGCTCTCAAGGTCTCTTCAACGTCTTCTCTTGGCATCCTTGACAAACCATCAGCCTTAGCATTGCTTTTGCCTGGGCGGTATACAATATCAAAGTCAAACATGGCTAACTGTGATATCCATCGCTGGCCAGTAGCATCTAATCTAGCTGTGGTCTTTGCATATACCAGAGGATTGTTGTCAGTCTGAACTGTGAATCTGTTCCCATAGAGGTAATCTCTAAGTTTATCAGTCACTGCCCACTTCAAACACAAGAACTCAAGCTTATGAGCTGGATACCGTGTCTCAGAGGGGGTTAGTCCGCGGCTTGCAAAGGCTATAACACATTCTGTTCCATCTTGCACCTGTACCAAAACTGCACCAAGACCATCTATGGAGGCATCTGTTTGCAGTATAAATGGAAAGGAGA